AAAAAAAAAAAAAAAAAAAAAAAAAGAGTATTTATGAAGTAAGATTTTCTTTTTCTTTTTTTCTGGTACTGGGGATCAAATTCAGGACCTTGCACTTGAAGCACCACTGAGCTAAATCCCCAGCACTGAAGTTAAGATTTTCAAATACAGAAACCTTCAAACTTTTATTTTCTAACAAACTATAGAAATGAGTCCTAAAGGTATAGTTTTCAAAGATCTATCTTTTCGTCTATGGAGATAATTATGAGTCTAAGAGAATAATTTCCTTTTGTCAATCAGTCTAGATATAACTTTTAAAACATTCTCTGTTGTCTGAATATGAAAAACATTACTTTTAAAAAAACCTTGGGAGGAGGATTGCATATCAGCAGTTTGAAGGCCAACCTGCATTACACAGCAAGACCCAAAGCCCTCTGTGTAGGAAAAACTCTGGGAATCCCATAGGGAAAATGACTCTAAACTGAATGCAGAAGGTGGAAGTCACTTCCTTCTGTCTATTTCAGACACGACACAGACTTTCTAACTTAACTGTTCCACACACAGCAGTTTACTCACCTGGGCTGCTTCTCCAAGTCACATGCATTTACCTCAAACACTTTCTCAGTTTCCCATTTCTGTTGGACTTCTTTCTCAATCTTCTTCAAATAGTCTACTTTGGCTGTTCCTTTTCTTTCCTATTGGACACAAAAGGGAGAAAAATCCACTCTATACTTCAGCAGGCTTGCTTGAAAAGAAATGGGTTCACATAGAACTGCACTGCTCACTGACAGACTGAGAAACCTCTTCATACGTTCCTACCTCCCAACAGTTCCCCTGTGCAGGCATGAATCACAGTGGTAGCAATGTTTCCTCCAGAATCTTTATGTTTCTTCATAGTGGAAACTTCTCTTGCTTTGCATAATATCCTCAAAGTCCAGTTTACAATGAGGCCCTCCTAGTTTTTGAGCTAGGCATAGTGCCACATACTTGTAATCCCAGCTCTTGAGAGGCTGAGGCAGGAGGATCACCTCAAGTTCAAGGCCAGCATGGGCTACATAGTGAGTTCAAGATCAGCCTGAATCAAGCCTAAAAGACCTTGTCTCAAAAAAAGAAAACAACAATAATTTTAAAAAGTAGTTTTTGAATATTTAAAGATTTTAAATCACCAGCTTTTCCTTACTGGTATCATAAAGAAATAATATAGGAACCAAGAATGGTGGCACACGCATGTATTCCCAGGACTAAGAGAATCAGGCACAGTATTATAAGTTCAAGCCCAGTCTTGGCATTTAGCAATACCCTATCTCAAAAACTAAAAAGAAGGCTGAGGATGTGGCTCAGTATGAAATCTCTGGGATCAGCTCCCAATATTGTAAAAAAAAATTTGAGATGGGTAGACAGAGGGAAGGGGAATGGGGGAAAAACTAGAACCAAAATACATCATGTAAAGGTATAAGATCCTAATGGTGAATGTTATCATAATGTATACCTAAAACGTACCGATAACCTTAATGAACTAAAAAAAAAAATTCAACTACATGGCTGGCTTTGCAGAAGTATTTTAAACAGAGGAAAGTAACTCCCACTTAGTCCTTAAAACATCCTGTAAGTCCTAATAGCTGATTTATTGAGGGCCTCATAAAAATGTTCTAATTTCCTTTAAAATCTGAAGAAAAACTAGGGGCCAAAGAAAAAATTAAAATATTAAATTAATATGTGTATATGAATATAGTTTTTAAATATAAATTTTAGTATTTTTACAAAGGAGGCGGCCTACAAAGGACAAAATACCTAGGGTTTCATGTAGACTATTTGTACCTGCTACCCTAGGGCTGTGGAGACAGACAGTCTCACTGTATCATTACTACATCCCTCTTTAACCAAGCTAAGCTGACTTCCATTACCTGAAACTAAATGATGCCTAGGACATTTACCAGATGGATTATAAACTCCTGGCAGGGACGAACTTTTGTCTTTTTTAGTTAGTCATCCCAGCACTAAGTATAATACACTGATACAAAACTTAGACGACAAATACTTTTTTGCTAAAATATGACATCACCCACTTTAACAAGCATGGAAGCATAGTCTTCACAAATTACTTAAAGCTATGTGTTTCTTTTCATTGTACTGAGTGCTGTTCTATACACTGAGAAATGCACTAAAGCGCTTCTTGGATTTTTCCACTTCTCAGAAGTTTGTTCCTCAAAACCTCAAAGGTTAAAGGTCAATTGTAAGGAAATTTGACACTGGCCCTAATACCAACTTGTTGTGTTAACTTGGGAAGTCACTTGATCAATCTGAGCTTTAATTTCTTCATTGATAATAAAAGATTATTTAACAATTCAAGGCACCCATTAGTAATGTCTAAACTCTTACACCAGCATTTGTGACACGTAATTCTTTGTCTTCAAGGGCTTGTCAATCCATTGTAGAATGTCTGCAAGCACCCTTAGCTTTTACACACCAGATTCTAGTAGAACAGCCCCACGGTGACAATCAAATGTCTACAGGCATTGGTAAGTGTCCTTTGTGGGACAAAAACCACTCCATTTAGAATCACTGAAATAGATAATAAATCTTTTCATATAGTCATAGCATTCCATGGTTCTTAAGACACTTATAAATACTAACTCAATTTTAACCCTAAGAAGTAGGCAGAGCAGCGATTATTATTTCATAGATAACAAATCTGACATTCAGTGGTCAAGGCAGCAAATTGTAGAGTTGAATAAATACCCTCCTCTTGGGCTCCAATTTCTTCTTTTCCTTGTTATTCTGCCCATATCTAGGCACAGCACAGGTTCTTCCCAGGTTTTCTAACACTCACTATTCTCACCTGTCTGGCCTGAGAGAGATTTCTGCTTGGTAAGGAGTTGTCTGGCCACACATGGTGGCCCCCGCCTGTAATCCCAGCACACGGGGAGGCTCAGGGAGGATCACAACCCAGGCAATTTAGCAACTTAGTGAGATCCTGAACAAACAACAAAAAAATTCAAGGTTGTGAGGCTCTATTGATCTTGACCCCCTTTTCATTCAGCCTTAGTCTGCTACCTCACCTCACCCCAGGTCTTCACTTCTCCATTACCCATCTGCACAATCACTCCTACTTTCACCCACTCTTGCTCCATTATTCTTATGTGGCAAAACTCCAACTCCTCTATCCACCTTCCTCTGCTACTCTACCTGCACAGATGAGCGTGACAGGAGGAAAACACTAAACCATGTTAACTGGTTTCAGTTTACCTTCATGACCACGAAGCTGAAGTGATGCCAAGAATACACTAATTTCTGGTTTTTTGGTTTGCGGGGAGTTTGTGTTTGAGACGGGGTCTCATTACATTGTTCAGGCTGACCTCGAACTCATCTTCGTGCCTCGGCCTCCTGAGTGCTGGGATTATAGGCATGTGCCACCACACCTGGCCTGGTTTGGTTTGTGAACCACAGTTCGCCCGGGCTGGTTTTTGAACTCTCCAGCCTCCCATCCCAGCCTCTCAAGCAGCTGTGATTACAAATGTGCATCACAACACCCACTCAATACTACTAATTTCTGAAAGTCACTCCTCCTGGGCAATGTTTCTCAAAGTTCAACATGATACTGCCCCATCGAGTAACCACTAGCCACACTTGACCACTTAAAGTTATACGAAAAATTCAGTATTCAATCATAGTAGCCACATTTGAAGTGGCTCAACAGCCTTATGTGCTCAGTGGCTATCAAGTTAGATGGTGTCAACATTCCTATCACCAGACAAAGTTTCAGTGACTGAAGTATCCTAGACAATTATTCATAGCTTCTCTCTCTCCTCAAGCCTGCAACACCGGGCTAGTTTCTATTTCACTGAGAAAACAGAAATAAGCAGACAACTTCCACAAGGTCCCACATTACACCTACACAACCACGCACATCCGTACATACGTACTCTGCCTTCTTTTCTGTTCACATTATATAAGTGTGATCTTTTTAGCCCCTCTCCTGATTCACTGAATCCCCCTTCTATTCATCTCAGGAACAGCGTTCCAGCAAACATTTCTCCTCTGGATTACTTCTTTTCTTAGGGTAATTCCTAATAACACTGTGTAATTCCTATTTTTAAAAAAGAGCTTTTTGACTCATCTACTACTCAATTTCTCTTCTCTCCTTTACAGAAAAATTCCTTAGGAATTGTCCATCCTTATCAACAATCAATAATTTTTCCTATTTATTTATAATGGGGATTGATCCGAGAGGTGCTGCATCCGAGTGATATCCCCATCCCATTTTATTTATTTTTGAGACAAAATTTTGCTAAATTGGCCAGGGGGGACTCATTTACAATCAGTCCTCTTGCTGGGATTACAAGTATGTGCCACCTCCTCAGTCCTTTCTTCCCATTCTTTTTTAGTTGATACCTTGGGTTGTTTGTTTGTTTGTTTGTTTTGGTACCGGGGATCAAACTTGGGTCCTTGCACTTGCAAGGCAAGCAGTGGAACCACTGAGCTAAATCCACCCACCCCACCCCACCCCCACCCCAGGCCCAAGGTGATATTTTGTTTTTGGTGTTTGTTTTTGAGACAAAGTTTCATTAATTGTCCAAGCGGGCCTTAACTCAATAGTAGCCCAGGCTAGCCTCATCCTGCCTCAGCCTCCCATGTGCTGGAACTACAGAATGTGCCAACACACTCAGCTCTCCCATTCCTTTT